TGAATTTGGAAAAGAATTAAAAAAAAAAATATTTTTTTAAATAAAAAGTCGCTATTTTAGTACAAGCATCATCGAATAAAAATGCAAGTTATGATTTTATATGTACATTTTGCACGCTTGTCATTTATCTTTGGTTTCATGCCTTCCGACACGCGTTACAGCATAAATCAATATCCATCAAGGGAATAATTGCATTTTCGCGGAAAGAATCTCGCGGCGCCAACGAACAATTTTACCCATTCTGACATGGTAAATGAAGCACACCTGTTCTCACACAACACATACACAGATTCACACTGGCACGGGCGTATAAGCGATCGAGCGCACCGTGTTCTTCTCATTTGAAAGTCTCACGAGTCATGCCAGATAAACCTGTTATATCTTTTCCGGATATCGTCCTGCGATGGCAAGTGCGAATGCGAGCGGCGTACATTAAACAATTGGAATTTATAATGCACAAGCGTGTACGACGAGGGTCGAGCGTTACTGCAATTCTTCATGCACACCAGTCATTCTCATCGATGCGATTGGCCATTCACTTTCGTCTCATTTATAACGAAAACACGTCATCACGTTGTCTTCCGCGGCGTTGATGTCCGTTAATTTGCAATTAATACGAAGTAATCTGGAACGCTTTTGTAATCAGTAATTATATGCCTGCACTTACGTATCTCCGAATATTTGATACAAATCTGTTTTTTTTTTCTGCTCGTTCTCGAAGAAATCTTGAGAAACGCCTAAAAATCTCAGATAAAAGAAATGAGATTAGATTATTCTCAGAGAGACTGAAAAAATATCCAAGATGCTTTATCTTTATTTTTTTGCTCTCAATGATCGCTATTTCTTATATGGAATTAAGATATAATCTTTTTACGACACATTTTTATAACACATAAATTAACAGAAACGATATTTTCGCAATCGAAATAATTTATGAGATAGTTTTAAATTGCAAAAAAAAAGGAAGGTAGATATATAATCTTTCTTGCTCGTTCGTTCTTTCTCTTCTCTTCCTACCTGTTGAGCATTGATCCAGCTGACTAACTTAGAGGGAAGAGGCAGTTCTCAGTTGCTGATGCGTCTCGTGGTGTGTTCCAGTTAACAGCATAGCCGTCGATTGTCCAGTAGGCGGCTAATAGCCACCTCACGTTAGGAATAATAATGGGGGGTCAGACGTATCGGATGTCAGCCGAAAGATCCAAAGCCCTGAGGCCATTTTCTTCCAACCTCTCCGAACGACAAAGCGGCATGTCAAAGTAGGTTCTCGTGGCTATCGTGTAACATTATCGTGATTTACGATGTGCTGTAATTTTAATGCAATTTAATGTATTAATCGCGTCAAGGCACAGTTTTGTTTCTGATAGAAACCATTAGGAGTCTCGCTTCCATTTAACTAGCGTTAAATGTAGTTGATAGTCTTCAAAGATATGATTTTTTATAATAATATATGAGTGTTGTTATTTTTAATTTTGAGTAATTAAATTGAATGTATACATATTTTAGTACTATTCAATTTGATATTGTACAAAGTGAAACACGAAAAAGGCAAACAGAATGCTACTAAAAATGAATGACGGTGTGAATGTAAAGTAAACTGTATCAGTCATGAACTAAAAATTTCGAATCTCTAACACCTTGTCATCCCATGGTGAGTAGTTAATAGCCGTGTCACAATGAGAAAAAAATAATAAGGGTAGTCAGATATTAGATGCCAGTCAAGAAGGCGGTGCCGTACTCTTCTTGTTTCGAATTGTCTGAATGACATGCAGGAAGGTTTCTTCTAAAAATAGTACGATATGCTTCGGATAAAATTTGGAACCACACAACATATAATTGATCATCGTACAGGGTCGTTGACTCATATGCATAATTATGAGTTTTTGCTAATAAACTGTATATTAGTTCTAAACTCTTATCTCTCTTTTTTTCAATTTATAATCTTCAAATAGTTTCCCATAATTTACAGTTATATTGTCGCATTGCATATGAATGATATAAATAATTTTTAAAAGAGTCGGCACAAAAACAGTTGTTAGCTTAATTGAATTTTTGTCTATTGTGATATATATCTGTATTTGAAAATCACTCTTAATCAATTATAAAGCGCGAATGAAATGTGTTGGTCAGTTTAACGGATAATAAACTTGTTCAAAAAATTCATGAATATATTATGGATTGCGAGATGGACAGAAGCGGATTCATTTTTTACGCGTCATATTAACAGAATGAAATATCTCGAAGCTGCGAATCGCCATTGGTTAGTTCTAGTTTGCTTGTCATTCTCTTAGGCTCGTGCAGTCAGTTTAGCGCATCTTATGTGAAGGTATCTCTTTTCGCATCTACCACCCGTCGCTCAAAAAGAAAGAATGTTGCGTCACGGTCATTAATCCCACTACTATTTCTTGTTTATACGTTTTCTGCTTATTAACTCCTAGTATCAGTCTCCAGATATTCGAGCATTGATTTCCTAGATATACTGATAAATAAAATGACAGGTCATTTTAGATCAAATGTCAAATGTAATTAAATTTATAATTAAATTATTATCTTATTGAGCTTATAAATAATAGTGTTAATATATGCCCTTGAATTTGTATATTTTTCTGATTCAAACTTCTTGATATTATCTAGTAATTTATGCATACAGTTTATTTTAGCCAAAAATAAAAGTTAGTTAAACTATTAACTTGAGAAAAATCACTTTTATCATTAAATAATTTTCTTCATATTTAAAAGTGATTCGATTATTTTTGCATTTGTAACTTTAATTATTTGCATCAATATTTTTGTATTTATTTTTTATACTTTTACTTGCGTGAATATATTTTTATCGCGCTACTATTTTAATGTTTTGGTTTATAGCAAAAAATTGATTTAAAAAAGCATCTTATTTAGCACATATTTTTCCAGCTGTATTGTCGATATTTTCCAGCTTGGATAATTTAGAGATTTCTTTCGTCGACAGAGAGAAAGAGTATATTGATAAAAAAGGTTTCTGTCTTATCTTTCACAATCGATGCATAGTACACTCTGATGGTAAAGATAAAAAATGCATCTAAATGTAAATTATAATTAAAAATTTATTTTATATTGCAAACTATAAAGTTCAAATATTTTTGAAAACCTTTTTTGTGCTTATTTAATAATGTATCATCGATGTGTTATCTATATTTGAGAGAAGCTAAAACTACAATTTATTGTTACAAATTTAATACTCAGGATTCAAAGAGCAATTGTTTAGATGTTTTTTATAAATCGAGGATATATTATTTACAACAAATATGAGACAGAGAACACATTTATTGGTCTTATTTGGTCAATATTAACAATTGAATAATTATATTCTTCAAGAGAGACATCGTATATATTTAATAATACATTTTGCAGAATTTTAATAATACTTAACAATAAGAACACAATTATTTTGGTCAAAATTGGAAAATTAATCGTTGGTCCCGTAACTACTAAAATCGTTGCTTTAGATTAATATCATTCGGTATATGTGGACTTGTTTGTTAAAATTTGTGTACATGAATATATTTAGAAATACTGATATCTTCTTATAACTCAATAATGAAAATTTGAACATCTATATAGTTTACTATTTTTTAGTCGTTGTTATCTTAGTATTTTTATTTGTATTTGGGCAAAATTATTTGATAATAATATAGCAGTGATTTTAATGATTATTTAAATCCATGCTTCTTTCTTTCATTTCGAGAGACATGTTGCCAACTTTTTCAATGGATTCTGCCTGCTTGAGTAACTCTAATATTATTATTGTCTTTGTTGCAGCACAACGTTACAGCATATTAGCGCACACATATACATATTCGTACGTTATAATAGTAACTTTGAATTGATTTTGTTATTTGAAAGATATTATATTTAGTTTTACTATTCACTAATAACACATAGTAATCGGAACATTTGTAATTAAATTAAATTCTGGAAAACAAATCGAAAAGAAAAACATATTGTGTAAAGAAAAAAGATAAAGATATATTACATACATTGATCTTATCATTAACATATATATAATCTTTTATATTTATAACATATATATACACATAACACGTGTATGTATAATATCCTACATACATTTGTAACATTCACGAAGATTATAATAATGAGAGATTGTAAAACTCTTGAATTTATTCTTTTATTATTCTTCGTGGAAGCTCGAAAAGACATAAATATTTTGGTGGGAAACCAAAATTAGAATTTGCAATTAATTTCCGTTGTGGGAGTAAATAATTGATTGCATTTTATTTTTGAAATATCGGCTAACTAGTTAATTATCAATTATTTTATACGTAATTTTTTACGTTTATAAAATAAAAATTATATAATAAGATAATTCGAAAAATATTTTATATGTTAAAATTATATGTGAAAATTACGTTTGCGTCAACATTTTTGTCATTGCAATGTACGACTTTCACCGCGTAGTATACAAGGATATTGTCTAAGAAGTGTTCGCACACAATAACATTGATGATGCGCTAGCAAAAGTGGCACAAGGCGACATATAATACTGCATTATATCTAGATTGTTAACATGAATCCCAGCAAACTGCAACTACACCGATTTCTAACGCAGCAATTTTGAAACGCATCTTTTTATTCAGATCTTTTCTCATAAGTAAAGATAAGCTTTTTAATCGATAACTTTTTAATCGATAATTAAAACTGTTAAATGTGATCTGTTTCCACTGGCGATATGGGATGGAACTTTATATATTAGATATACACTCTGTTTTGAGTTCACGCGTTTCACAGTCAAACTATGGATTTTAAGTTATTGCCGTAGCTCACTTGCTTGCGCGTTCGCGATACATTTATCAAATCTATAATAAAGAATTAGTTTTTTTCTTATAATCGTATTCACATTGCAGTTCATATTTCCTTCCTTGCCTACAATAAAAACAATAAAATACTTAAAAATTTTATAATACTTTCGCAGATTATTCTAGAAAATTTGTAACATATTTTAGAGTTGTATATCATTTAACTTTCAAAAATTTATGTCTAAAAAATAAATAAGTAAAATATGTGGGGAATTGTTTTTTATTGCGAGTTTGAAGATCGATATGTCTGTCCCATCATAATACTGCAATAAAATAATGAACTCATTGGATCGAAATATCGATATGTTGCAAACATGATGTTAAATTTTTAAATAGCAAAATTTATATATATTCCAGATCTTGATATGTTATTCAGTCGCATTCTTACAGATTCTTTGATAAGTACATAGTCTTTTCTAGCAGAAATTTTAGAATTAGAAACTATTCGAAATATTAATTTTGAATCTTGCTAATTAAGCTAGGAATTAAATGTTTGCCGAAATAAAATACTCGTAAAATAACTTGACAACTGAATTTTCACACTTTTGAGGTATTGTTTAATTACATTCGAAAATTATTGCAAAAATCGTTAATTCTTTCCGCTCAACTATCTATAAATGTATCTATCTGACGTATCTCCTTTAGTCCTATTTGGTCCTGGGTGAGAGTTGCTGGGTAAAAGAAAAAAATCTGTAATTAGGATTGGTTGCAGGTGGCAGGTGCTAGCGATTTGCAACCACGAACTATCTGAGCGCGCCATCACTTTGAAACCGATTGCTCTTCGAGGACCTCATTGGCCCTCAGCTTGATCTCTTTCCACGAATACTGTATATCCTTACTCTCGCTAAATCGAGAACAAACGGAGAATCGTAGGAAAAATGTGTCCTTTATCTTAGACGGGACGAGATGAATGTTTCCTGCACCGTTGATCCTCTTTAGGAGAGTCTCATTGAGATCGTTGGAACCCTGTAAATTATTATGGAGTTTATTCTGCTGTTTTCTTCCAGTTTTATAAAAATGTATTTAATTATAATAAATATATATATTTTATTATAAAATTTATAAAAATAATATACGCGCGGTATTCTTCAATTCGTTATCATTGTTTGTAAGCATATTCTTTCATTAATTCGAAGGTTAGCAAACATTATAAATATCTTTTTTTAATCAATATAATATTATTAAAAAATTATTTTTTATAATCACTTGCTCAAAGATGCAAATAAATTGGCGGACTAATTAACTCACCTTTAACCGAAAACAAACTAGTCCCATAAGAACTTCTCCCAGAATCTCAAAGCGAGGATCCGAAAGAACTAATGCTTCGAACTCGTGTGCTTGAGCAACGTGCTTTCTAATGTGCTTCTGAAGATTCTCAACGCCGTAAAGTCTCAGTACGAACCACAGTTTCAAAGACCGGAATCTGCGTCCGAGTGGAATTTGCCAGTGCTATAATAAAGTATACAAATATATTAATGAACGACCGCACTTATGGAAATTCTTTTCTGAAATGATTTTGTCAATTAGATGCATGTTAAAGTGTAAGTCACTTTTAAAAGACATTACTCTGTAATCCGGCACACTACCCTGCATATCGTGCTTCAGGTACAAAGGATCGACGTTGAAAGCGTTTACGACATACGTCGGATCCTTAAGCCACATGGCAGAGCAATCGAAATTAACTAGCATCCACTTGTGTGGATTGAAATTGAACGAATCCGCCAATTCGATGCCTTTCATTAAGTATCGAAATTCCGGACAAATGAAAGAAGATCCTGCAATTAAATGAATTTATTTATGCTTTATTTCAAAATGAACTGCTGTTTGAAAAACTATTATTATGGTATATAAAAGAATTTTAATTTATACCTGCATAAGCAGCATCCACGTGTAGCCAAATACCTTCACGATTCGAGACGACGCCCATTTCATCAAGGCGATCAAAGGCGCAGGAAGTAGTCGTGCCTAAAGTAGCGACGGCCTATGATAAAAAAGCAATTTATAATTTCTAATATAATATAAAGACTTTTCTTTTTTTGATTCTCCTCAATTATTCAAAAAATTAAAAGATAGAAGTAGTATAATAATTAATGAAGTTAAACTTACATAAAACGGTATAAATCCTTGCTCTTTATCCTTTCGGATTGCTTCGGTCAACGTGTCGCCCCGCAGTTTGCATTTCTCATCGACTTCCAATTGCCTGAATTTTACTCCACCGAGAAGTCCAGCTCGTTCAACCGAGCTATGTGCTTGACCTAAAGAAGTATAGCATTTTATTGTATTTTTATTATCAAAATATCTTTATTTCTCAAAAAATATTTAAAAAATACCTTTTTTCTGAATATTTTTTAACAATATGTATAAATATTATTCCGCAGAATACTATAGAGCGCGATTTATCTATCTCTATTGATAGCGACGGATTGTCGATGTCGTCGCCAATTATTATAACAAAAAGAAGTAAATAAATACTCTATTTTTCTAGAACAATGCCAACTCATTGAGAATATAGTTTTGTCTGATATTTATAATTAAAAAAATAGCCCGTGAATTATTCATCGCGTTGAAAAAAAATTACAGGACATTTTTTTTCATTTCTATAAAGCGCTGTAAAATTATTGTGGGAATTGAGAACAATAGAGAAAGTTCGGTTTGAAATATAACCGGGGCGGTTATTACGAGTTGCCATGGCGACAAAGTGCTGCTTGATGAAGTGCCATGAACCTCATACTCACCCTATCACTTCATCCCTCTCATCCCTCCCTCCCCCAACCCTCTCTCTCTCTCTCTCTCTCTCTCTCCCTATTCACATGCCTTTACACTGATTGCTGCCCGGTCACTTTTCAGCATTGCGTCAGTGTGCGTCGAGGTAATGCAATGAATACGAATGAAAAATTGCTATTATAAACGTAATAGCTTTAGCCATTATAATCGCTCTACTATATTAAAAAAAACATAATATACTAATCAGAAGGCTAATAGTGTTGCACAAACAAATTAGTGAATTTATTGTCTTTGTCTCATTCTAATAAAATGACAAAAAGTTTCCTCGATAATAATATAAAAATTTTAAATAAACAGTGTAATACTATAATAAATTTATATTAAAGATAAATTTAAGTTCGTAATGTTATTTTTAAATTTTATATAACTATTCTTTTGTTTCTAGTTTTGCTACTTTATTCTTATCTTGTGAATCTTTTAAATATTCTGACTCTCTCGTTTAACACATTAAAATATGTGTCACAGTTCAAGTGTCTATTAAAGTCGTTGAGCTGTACTTTATATTTAACGCACACGTCGCTATGTGCTATTTTTTACGTGATAAAAATAGTTAAGAATTATTAATTAATAAATAATTAATACTTTTATTGCAGTAAAATAGATTCATAATATGTATATAAATTTATTTCCGATTGGAAAAGCTGACTAAACTAATCAGTCTGCACGTTATTTCCATTTTGAAAATTTGCTGATTTCTTAGAACTTTTTGCATGTCACGAACAGGTATATTATAGCAAAATAGTGAAAGATATACTCACAGGAACAATATGCGACTAGTCTGCTGATGATCTCGCTTTCCGGCCAATCGGGATGCTGCTCTTTAACTTGTTTTATTTTCATGGCTTTCGCTCCCAGTAAAGCTACCAGAGTAGCTTCGCTAGCAGTCCCCTGTAAATAAAAATTGCACATGTAATACGTTTAATAATACTTTCGTTTCTCTCAAAAAGTATCGTTATTTATTATGTATATCTATGTTGCTTTCGAAAATATAATAGCGTTTAAACAATTGTTTACCTGAATAACGCCACCGCCTTTTCCACCGCTGCAGGCAAGGAATTCTTTCGGCAAGTCCAACATTTTTCCTAACCAGTCTAACATAACTACTTCTAACTCAGTACAAGCTGGACTCGCAATCTAGAATTAAGGAAAATCAGACATCACTGATTAGAAACACAACTTGATAATCCAACGTTAAATATATTTTTTAATTTTATTTTTACTTCTTTACCAATCAAACAATAAGATCAATTTTTTTTACAAAAAAAGATTTTATTAAAAATACGTATATTAATTGAAAATAGATATTAATCATAAAATCTTGCAAGTATAAATAAATCTTGTCATAAAATTTAGCAACATTTGCAGTTGCATAATACATTGTAACATTTAACAAAACTATGTTACAAAACAAGAATATTCCGGATTTTAATAATTGTGTTTAAGGCAAGAAACATAGTAAAATTTTTTAACTGTAATTTTTTATGCTTACCCACGTGAATCCAATACATGCAATAGCTCCGCTTAACATGTCTGCCAGAATCGCAGGATACGATTGCGCAGTGGGAAAGTACGCATGAAATTTTGGACTATGCCAATGAGTAACCTGCGAACAATTTTATTTTAATGTATCTGTGGTTTATTTACAGAACAAAAGTATTGATGATTGAATATTAATTTCTTATTTTAGTCCTCCTGTTCTGTCTCGTAATACATATATTAGTCACTATCATACATATTAAAAAAATATTAGTAGAGTAAAAATAATTTAAAATTACTTACACCTGGCATTATCACTCTTTCAATATCGGTCATGATATCTTTCCATGGCTCAGGGGTTTGCGGTGCTTCGGAAGGTAGCAAAGGTTTTATATATCCCGGCTCCACTGTAGGCAGGACTCTCCTACAAATTTATCAAATTTATGTCAATATATAAGATAATTGATATATAAAATCAGTCTCACTATATAGAATTTCGAACGATTTTTTAAATTATGGTGATGTAATGCTATTATTAATCACCTTTCTCTAATATTCTCCAAATAGTTTGTGATGTATTCCGCCATATCCTTAGCGTAATCCTTAAAGTTCTCGGGATCCATGACTATAATACTTTTTGCCTGTAACACACACCCAGACGAGATCAATTATTGCTGAGATAATTATTTTGTATACAGTTATGACAATATTAAAAATATTTGTTCAATTATGTTGTTGAGTATGCAAATGGAGTAGGTGTGGTTCCGGTATCCGGTATCCTTGGCGTGTGAATGTGCATACGGTATGCAATTTGAATGAATCTATCAATGCTACACGTGTCTTGGAGTTCTTATTTATCTTCAAGAATGAACATTTTTTCGCGTGAATACAGAATGATTGCATTTCCGCGTATTACATGAGGAGAACTGATATCAATGATAATAAGAATCTTGCTATCAACGCAAAATCAAGCGGTAATAATTTATGCAAACACGTGAAACGGTTGCTAGTGTCAGATTCAAGGATGCACGTTAAAAATTATTACAGATAAAATGTGAAAGTGACATTTGTGCTAATTACTGAGGATTAGTTAATGCATCGGGTTGATATAATCTCTGGAGATTGCACACATTTGCGATTGCACACGTCAAGTTTAGTATTGCTAATTTCAAGCAGCGAGATAATTAGTATTATCTTATTCAATGCTTTATGTATGTTTAATGTGGAATGCGATATGAATTATTACTAAAATAAATAACAATATTTTTTTGACCTATTTCATGCTTTCTGTTATCTTTAATACTTTACTTTGCAAATGATTAGAAGTTTCTATTAATAATCTTAATTATTAATATGCCAAATATACTGATAATTCTAGTATTACGTACTTGATTAAAAATTATTAGAAAATTTTTATTTGTTCAAAATATATCATATGTAAAATTGTCGCTAAAGTATTAATATTTGACAAAAGAACTAATAAGGAATAGATTTACCGCGCAATTCAAAGCGTATAACGTCAATACTTGCGTCAGTTCGATCATCTCGCTTTCTACTTTTTTCTTTTAATGTTAAGCGATAAATATGAATATACGTAAACTCGTTTGGCCTTTCAAATGAAAGGTTTAATAAGTCTAGACATCGATGACTGACGATGTAGAGCCTCCGTTGACGTAGATCTTGAGAAACTCCGGCAGCAGGTGAGGGAGATGCATGTATGTCGTTGCCAACTAGAATGCGAGGAGATTGAGAGTAGAAGAAGAAAGACGGCGAGATTGAAAGAGCGGTCGCGACGATCGGTAGAATCGCCTTCGTAGAGAAGTAAGAGTGAATTCGTCGTATAAGTGGCCATGACTCATTTTCATGGAGCAGGTTTCGTTCGAATCGCCGCGTGCCGCTTGTTTACCGTGTCGAAATGCGATTTGGTCTGCTATGGTTTTTTTCCTATTTGCGCTGGGACATACTCCGGATATTTTGTAACGCGGATTTCAAAGTAATGATCATAATGTAAGAAGATAAGAATTAATTTTTTATCCTAAATTCCTTAGAGAATTGAGAGTTTTAAAGTCGAATGGATACAAAAATTCGGACGGAAGGCATTTATTTGTCGCAATTTTCCAATTTTAAACATCAACGTTGTTAAATGTTGAGTTAACATTTCTCGAAAATAGAATCTAATCAAAAAATAAAAATAAAATTTTGTTTTGAAATAAAAAAATGAGACTAAGCAATGTCATTATACATAAACGAAGATTTTTATGCAGATTTTTAAATTTATCGTAGAATAATATTGATTGCTCTCATTTCAATATGTTGAGTCATTTCTTATAAATATAGTAGGTTCCTTAGTAAGGTCTTAGTAATCAATATGAAAAATAACAGTCAACAAATTATTATTCTTTCATTATCATTGTTGAAATGTTTTGCATTAGAATCTCATTATTACATTTTTATTAACTCTATTTGGATCTTTACAAAATCTGTAAATAATTTAAAGGTTGTTATATTTATATGATATTAAAGTAGATTTTGTTTTGATTCTTTTTAATTATATATAAATTTGTACTTGATCGTATTAATTGAGTTGTTAAATTAATAAAATCCAAGAAACATGGAAAATGCAGCATAAGTAATATCCTTGTATTAACTTCTACAATACTTAAGTTGCAGAAATAATAATAAAAGATTTTTGTAGAAGTACTTCAATCACGTCCGAAACATTTTTAGTATGTGAGGAAAAGTGAGAATACGATAATGACTCTTCGCGCGATAGAGGAAACTCTCGCGAAGCTCAGGGAATCCCCTCTTGATCCTCTGACAGCAAATATTTCTCAGACACAGAGTACGAGCGCGCCTTCTACATAACTAAATTAGAGATCACAGGTCATTGAGCTATTTCTGAATATTATCGTATAACTATTTTGTTGCATTTATTTGTCTGAATCAGCGCTAGACAGACTAATTCTTGTGTGAATATTCTATTCCTACCAAATAACAACTCGTGTATTCTACGTTCTCTTGCAATTCCACACATGATATTTTGTCATATCAAGGAATGGTTTTGTTTTTATCTGTTATTTGAATTTCGATGTTTAAATTTTGGTACGAGAAACATAATTTATTCATAACTGATATCGCTTTATGCAGGCACATTGCTGTATATTTCGCAACGTTCAATGAGATATCTATCATGACTTATCTTATTAATGAAAGAATTTGAATAAATGTCAAATTAAATGCTATTTTTATAACTCATTTTTTTATGAAATATTTAACGTAGATTGTTTTTATTATACGAAAGATTTTTTATTATAACAATTCTATTTTTGCGTTTGTTTAGCATATAAAACTTTTTTATTTTCTTGAGATTCTATTATGTGAATATTTTGACTAAATACCATTCTTCTATGCAAATGACAAGAAACCTGTCTTTTACACAATGCATGCACATTATAAAAAAAGTTTTGTTTAAAATATTTCTGATAAAAATGTAATTCGATGAATATATGTATATTTGTTTTTTTTTTTTAAATAGATATAATAAACTAATTATTTATTTAAAATATTGTGCTTATTGCTTAAGAATACGTCATGATAGCAAAAGTTAAAGATGAGATGTAAGACGATATCGAGAGTAAGGTTCACGTATAATAGTAATAATTTGCGATAAGGAAAAGATAGTGTTAACTTATCGAATTATGTTTAAAAAATACTGTTTCGCTGCAGTCAGTTAATATATATAATGGTTGTTAATGGTTTACGTGTTATAATTGTAAGTGTTTTCCTAGATATTGAGTAACGAGATAAAAAGTTTTTCTTATATATTGCAACTGTATAGAAATGCAAGAATGAAGTATTTGTGTTAGTTAACAAGAATGAAATATTCGCGCTAAATTTACATGCATATCAAATATGTATAATGCCAAAAACGTTTCTCGTAATCACAAAATTAGACAGTGATTTCTATTTATGACACGAATATACCGAAAATAGCTCAAGTATTATATGATCTCAAAATAGCATTTAATCCTCTTTTCCGAAGTTTAATCATCGATTCTGGAAAGCGCGACAGATTGATTTAACAAGCTAATGTAAGCGTTTCGGACTATGTCACAGCGGAAGAGTTAACGAAGCGCAAGCTCAGTAATTAGCTTTGGACACTGTGCGAGTTTAGAGACTAACAGGCGCTATTAAAGTTTACTCCTTGACATCAATTATAAGACCTTCAATGTCCTGAGCATTATTCTTGCTTTCGAAGGTGTCAACATTGTATCAAATATTATATTGATATGTATATATGTACTTTCATGTGCTGCATATTCAATATGTTTCTATACTGAACATAAATTTATCACTATATAGAAATTGAACGAGACATTAATTAAAAATACGATATAAATGACATAATATCATTTTGCAGATATTATTTAGTTTCAAATAAAGAAGGCTCTTACGATTTAATAATCACGAACGTTTTTCGTTAACTCTGTTACGGATCTACATGACGTTGATACAAGCCTACTATCACGTTCAGTTCTAATTTCCATATTTTACATCGTTTCAACATCAATTTTATTGTAACGACCAGCGTACTTTCATGTTCGAACTTATTATTTGTTGACACTAAAGATGGCTTGATGTCAGGCCGAAACGTTTGGGTGTATATTTGTGTTTTTATAATTTAATACAGATTCAGATTTTATCGCACCAAGACCTAGCGTTAGTTCTCTAAGCTCCTTTTTCCATATTTGTGATTATTATTTAGTTTGTTCTTTTTTTTCTAATTTTTGGAGTAAATAAATTTTCATTTCACAGTTAAAAAATTATTTTAGAGCCAAGTGCTAATGAGTGTTAAGTTTCTTCTGACGTCGCGATAGGACACATTTTTTCGCTATAATATCTATTAAGTAAAATTCTGTGACATTGTTACGATAGCAGGAAACAACATGCAAACAATTATTTTAGAAAAAAAAGAGATATTTGCAGATAAAATTGAACTGAAGCTCACTCACGTTTAGAAGTACCGCGCGAACGATTTGACACTTAACCAGATGATTCTCTTTGACAACGGCGTATCCACGTGTCTGCGGATGCTGCGAGTGAGGGTGATCCCGCGAGATTGTGGAGTGCACGACTGATATTCCGCGGTCGAATCGCCGCTCCATCCGCATCGTGCCGCGCTTTATGTAACTCCCCACTCTTCATCGTTCACCAGCGGGTGCCGTTCGACCAATCGTCATCGTGTCGTTCGTCCAGATTCGCTCGCCAGTCCTGCCGTGAGTACCGAGGCCAAAGATCGATAATGGATACGCGATCGATATCAGCCGGTCACTCAGTAGCGTAGGTGGTGGACGCATTAATCTTTGCGCGGATAGTAACGGAACATATGATATTTAGTTTTACTTGCTTATCTTTGTTTATTTGCTATTTGTATTTATAGCATAAAGATTTAAATGTTTTTTGAAATGTTAATAATTTTACGTGAGAAGTTTGCTGTCGAAAATGTGTTAAACTAATCATAAAATTACTAGAAAATGCCTCTTAGCTTTACATGTTGATGTTTTATTTAACATACTGACTTGTTATTTTAAGTAAGCTACTGCTAAAATTCTACAGTTGTACAGTTTTTAATTAATGCCTTTGAAGATAATGGAATTATGGAATACATAAAGAAGACGATATCGTCAAGCTGATGAGACATAATAGTACCTTGAAGGCGAAATTAGGGCGCTGCCGTTTAAAGCAACAGCATCAGTGATTTGATCACAAGTACGGAATCAAGGAAGCATTCAGGCAATAAATCAAATTATGGATAAGCTTGATCCTAGTTTTCAATCGTATGTGTCCTATCGCGACGTCAGAAGAAACACTTAACACTCACTGGCACTTGGCAGACGTTAGGTAATCTGATCATGATCTAGAAAGGAATCTTGGGAACAAAAAGAATCGTCCTTTCACAAACGCGCAGAAATTGAAGGTTATTTCATGAGACTTACAAAATGTTCTTGACTTAATTGTTATTAAATTCATTAAAACTTTACGTATCTTTTTTTATTTTATTATTTCTTTCGTAACAAAAATTATTTTTATTGAAAGAAAGTTATAATTAAATTTAATTACTTTTTTTATAATGAAAGATGTTATTGACTGAAAGGATTATCGATTGATTTCATATGTAAGAATGCATAATATTTCTTTAAATATCTAGAGGCTTACATATGACGTTAAAAGGCATACATGTATGACGATAAACATATTTACAGTATATCGATTACGTAGGTCGTTAAAGGATAATTACAGGCCACTTTAGTCGGAAATAATTACCTGCGTCATAGACGTCAAGTGCTACTTGCGTCTTATCTTAATTAAATATTCATATTTTTTTAATTAATATGTCTTTTAATATGATAATTATTCAGTAACGTTGTGATACACATTTCACAAAATTTTGGAAACTTTCTTCTTTCAAATCTACAAACTTTTTATGTTTAAATAAATTTATTTTTTTACGATTTAAAAAATAATTAGTTTACAATTATATATTTATAAAAATATAGAATTATTACGATAAAAACGATAATAATTTTAAATGGTTGCTCGAAAATTCTTGCTCGTCCAATTTTCCAATAATCAAAAATTTATTTTATTAGCCGCAATATCGTTGAATAGGATCGGGCGGTGAATTCCCCAGGCGAAGATGTTAATTCGTCTTTGCGGGACAAAACGAAGTCGATAATAATTTTGGAGTAGGTCGACATAAGAATATAAGAACAACTTGGTGTATGCTCGTGGAAAGACATTTTCCTCTTTTTCTCTGAGAGCGGAAAAGACGGATGAAGTGGTGCTAAAAGTGGTCGATTCTCCGAGGACTCTCGCTCAGTCGGATTTTCCTTTTTAACCTTCTTGTGCGCCTTCTTCTGCTTTTACTAGTCTTTTTTATTGCCGTGCTCCTTACGCGTCGAAAGAAGTCAAACGGAAACGAATGTACTTTTCCTCGATGCACTGTGCCGTCGTCATGGCTACCCATCAGGTCCGACTGGAGTAATCACCGGGACTTTCCGAGCGCGTATCGCGAATCGTATATTAGGCCACTTTCGCACGCGTCATATCTTGTTGCGAAGTTGTATCTCTGACGTCAGGGGCCGCTCGGCGTCGATTAAGGAAAATACAGTCTGAATAGATAGCATGGAAAAGGATCATTTCTTTAAGACAACTGGTTTCTCAAAAAATTAGTCTTGTCGTTTGACGTCTTCGCGGGATAATCCCGGCCTTTGAGCATAGCTTACGAATTACATAAATAAGAATATGACAAGATTATATTGTAATATATATATAAAGGAAATACTTAGCAGAAAACAATGACATGAAAAATAAGAATTTGAATTTTATTCTTTGACGTGAAATGATTTTCCAAATGATAATCTTCTTTAACCACGCATTTACGTAGCAAAATTGTCAATTGCACATAAGCAGACAAAGGGAGCAGCTTGAAGAGAGGGCAATTTCCTGATGCTCTCTACGTACTTGACTGCCACCTCTGTCCGAAGTTGTTCAACCATACCGTGTCTGTGGAAATGACGAGCTTTCACATTGAATTTTACGCTATTATGGGAGTCATAATATGGCTGTTACTTATGAATCTGCACTTTATATTTTCGGACCAATGTTTTTTATATTCTATAAAAAAAGATTACTTAACAAAATAATGAAGTAAGAGCAAGTGTATTTATTTATTCTAACTCTAAATTTTATGATAAAGTATATTTTAATTTTCAAGTTGTAGTATAAAATAAAAAATTGAAAAGTTTTATAAAACTTAGAGAAATATTTTTTTACGCATAGAGAAATTTTCTTATCGAATCAATTTTCTTCTTTTTTATAAATGCAATTATTTATAATTATTAAACGCTTATATTATTAAAACGCTTGATAAAAATAATTTACGTACAAAATTTTGAAAATTATGATCAATACGATCAATGCGATACGGTTTAAAAATTATGATTGTCATTTGCTTAATGTTCTTTTCTTTTGATCATATCAATATTCTTAAAAGAATTTCAATCTGCAAGAAATCAAGTTTATTATTCAACACCATCCGTTTTCGTATATCTACAACGAAGCTA